AATTTTTTTAGTATATTACTTGTGTGGTGTAGAAGAGAATTATTTATGAAGAGATACTGTTTGCAAACCAATGATGTAAGATGATGTCATGGGGTAGGACTGGATAAGTCTGACTTCTTCCTACTCCATTCAAGCATGTACTAGGTATAAGCAAATTGATATTGGATTAGCATTTGTTGGATATGTGTAAAATTATGTGTGTTGATATATCAACTGTCTTTACATGCTTGAAAGAATAAATAAATCAAATCAAAGCTACAATGGCTAGAAAAAAAGTTGGCTTTATTCTATTCGGAAGACAAAATAAGGTAATATGGTGACATTTGGTGCAAAATAAAAATATGCGAGTACACTGCAGTGACAATTACAGCTTGTCCTGAATATGATTACATAGCTGCTAAATGCTTTCACCTTTCATATTGTGTATAACAGCACACGACTAACTAAGAACATCAGAAAGTTTGACTGTTATACTGTAATGCTAAGCATTTTTATAAAGTGAACTGACATAATGTTCTTGTTAGATGAGTGAAAATGACATCGAAAGAAATGGACCCCATAGATTGAGACTTTCTAATAATTTCCCATTACAGGATTTGTAGGTAATAAGGTTGTAAAATTGCATTCATGTGCGCTGTAATGTGTCTGTATGTCTTAAACATTCACACAGACTACACTGTTCTCAGGTGTCTGCCTGTAATAAAAATTCTTTAAAGGGCAGTGTACAATTGAGATCAACAGAAAACAGCTATAACTGTGCTGACACAACCCAAGGCAGATTATTAACAAGTATACATCCCTAATTCTCTGAGATGTTTATTATTGTGTATAACCATTTAAAAAGGGTGGATGCTTGCTGTACCTGTGCCGAATGCTCCCAGGGCATTTAGTTTATTGACTTGTTATCTATTCAGGTTATTTCTACCAAGGTAAAACACAGCAAGATTAAATAAATAAATAAAAAAAGACACAGAGAAGAAGAAAGGAGAAACCAGGGTGGTGGTGTGTACCTGTGCAAAGGTGGTACACTGTCGATGGTCTTGAGGCTGCCGCGTGTGGACACCACATTGAAGCTGTCAGTACAGTCACAGGAGACGTGGAGGTAGTATTTGGGGTGGCGGTTCTCCACCACCACGATCAGCCCCGCCCAGCCATGGGTCAGGTAGTAGCATGTCATGCCTTCACGGCCCTGAGAGCACACAAGGAAACACACAAATATGCAAGTAGAAAAACTACTTAGGACACATTTGCACCTTAATGAGATGGTTCTGAATCCTTCACAAAGTCCAATAAACTAAACGTACTGGACTCTAAAACACATCCATGACATGTATGGGTCATAATACAAAACTCTTTTCATCACTCTCGGCTGCTCAAATAATATATTAATATTTTAAACAACATCTTTTTGTATTGTTAAAACAGTACCATTCACGTAGTGGCTGCCATGCTTAATCCACCTACCGTGAGTGGTGAATTCCTGGAGAGATGAAGAGCTGAATGATTAAACAAAGATGATCTCATGTGCTTAAAAAGCTCTGTCATCCTCTACCAACCAATGTGACAAGAAATCTAAAGTGCTGTCTAAAAGTGGCTTACAGAGTGGCAAGCGTTCTTCAGCTTCATAAGCATATATATTATATTCAAAGATGAACGGTTTTTGTGTGGGTGTGAGACAGGGAGATGGGAGGACAGGGAAATCGGAGGCTGGGGAGAGGGGATACATTAGCAGCTATTTAACACATCTGTGGGTTGTTTACTGCAACTTTGAGTGCATCTCACCTCATGTCTTTCCCCTTTGTTTTCTGTGAGAAGGATGATGGCGTCGGCCAGTGTGGTGGCCATTGCTTCCACCTGCTCCACCATCACCTGTCTGGAGCTATAAATGGCGAGGATGTAGCCAGGGAAATCCTGGCTGGGCCGTTGTGCTGCTCCGCTGGTAGGGCTTGCGACTGTGGAAGAAGACAGTTATATGCATCAGCTGCCTTCAGGCAATATAAAGTCAACTGAATGGTTCCATTATTGTTGAGTAAATATTCATAAGCAATACAAAGTGTTGCTCGTGCACACTGCAGTCGTAAACTTACTGGGTGTGGGTGGACCTCCCGTCCCGCTGATGTTCATCTGCCAGTGGTTGAAGGCGCAGCAGACAACAGCATACTCCCCCGGCTCTAGCATCACATCACAGCCAACAAACTTCTTCACTGCTCGCTTGCTGTGGGCTAACAAGCGGCCCAGGGTCAGCTTGTTTCCGCTGCCAAAGGAGGCACGAAACACCATAATGCACAGGTCCAGTAGGTGGCTGTCGGCTGTGTCTGAACGCCTGGGAAGGAAGGAGGATGGCTGGGTAAAGACAGAGGAGGGACAAGAACAAAAACAAAAAAGGGACAAAAAGAGGTGAGGGTGAGGACTAAAAGCTGTGGTTTGTGATTGTACCTGCTTCCTTCCTGGAAAAGAGCAAACTCCAGTGCCGTCCTCTCTAGCACAGTGAGGGCTGTGACGGTGACTGGCCCGCTGGCCTTGCTGGGGAAGCAGCCCTGAAGCCTCACCTCCTGCCAGTCTGAGTGGATCTTACAGATGTCCACTGAGTCAAAATACCTGAGAAGAGGGGAGACCAATGAGAACCGTCTTCAGTCTATATATGACATCAGTCTAAATGCTTCCATACAGTGTCTCTGTTCTTCTGAGACCAACAGTTTCACTGGCTGCTCTGCTGCTGTCATGAGCCAAGCCTATTTGTATGCATCACAAGACACTCTTTAATATTAGCATACCCTCCGTACAAACACCATTTACCTTGCTAATGTATAAGACCTCCGCCTTCAAAGACGGAGCTCCTGAGTCTGTTGTTTCATAATTTCCTAACCTCACTCTGACAAATACCTTATATCTTAGTTTTACCTTCTTGATAATCAAAAACAAGAGAGGAAGAAAGGTGACGCTTTACAGTAGGATTTCGTCATTATAAGCAAACATGTCTGCTGCTGAAATCTTTTGTATCTTACCGTTACCTGGGTTTAGTGCAATAATCTTTTGGATATGTTTTTAATGTTCATCAGTTCTATTTGTCCTATTCATTCATATGACTCAATATAATGGCCTTGTTTATTGTCCAACAAGCGAACCGCATTTTCTTTTTTCCACACTGAAACAGGCTTGGCCAGTTGCCAGTAGGTTTGTAATATACTACAAAACAGAGATTATTTATCTGTCAGACAAAACAATAAACAGCCAGAAGACAGATGGGACTCTCATCCAGGCTGAACACATTTTTCACGTTGGAGCTGTTCATGAAGACAGCCACTTGGTCCTTCTGGACTGGGATGCAACTCTTATTTTGTCAGACTGTAGACACACACACACACACGTGAATGTACTGACTAGGCAGACATGAACTGATTAGACAGTTCACTGACAGTAAGAAAACATCTTTTCTGGGCAAGTGTAGTCCTTCCTACAGCATGTCTTCATTTTCTGGTAGTATAAAATCAGATTATATACACAAAATATTAAAGCTTTGTGAAATGTTTTTGGCAAAATTGTAATTGATTTTAAGGGTGTAGTTGAGTTCTTTTTGCCACTTTTGTCATGTTATGATCAGGTCAGTCACAGGCAGAAACACCCTGTATGTCTCAGATTACTTTTGCTTTTGTTTTCAATCAAAGTATTTTTTACAGACAACAGTGTTTACTGTCCTACACAAGGTCACTGACCAATGAAGTGGCTATTTTATGACAGGGAGTAATAAAACGCGCCAAGAACAACAACAACAACTGAGAAAGCAACAGTATTTTCGATTTTTCTGTTATGTCCTGCACATATAGTGAATTGACAATAAAAATCTTTGATCTCAAAACAATAAAAACATTAGTCACTATTTAATGTTGTGCGTGACTGAATGACAAAATGAATCTAACGTGACAAAATGCACTATGAGCTATGACAAGTCTAAGCGCCTGCCTGCCAATTCCCTGACAAGCAAAGCAACCAGGCAAGGCACAATGCCATACAAAAACACAATGGCGTGGGAACCAGTGTATGATGGCATTTGTCAACAACACATTGTACTAAAAACAACAAAAAGGCTGTCATTCCATTTGGTGTCAGTAGCAGATGGCCAGTAAAAACCACAGAGGCATGAGATTAGTAAGCCATTAATCACTCATCATGTGCATCCATCATGGCACAATTAAATAACATTTTGACAGCTTTTTCACCTGCACTTAGTTAACGAAAGCTTTAATGTTTAAATTGAACAGCTGTTGGTGGGTAGGTCTTTCCTGGGAGAAATCTACACAGGGAATCAAGCATTTGACATTTCTAGCAGTGGTGTGCACAAAAATTGTAGCTTAGCACTCTAAGATACAGTAATGCCATCGTGGGTCCACTGGTCATAGTGAAAATTGGCTGAACAGTTTAATGTACTACACCCTGCACAGTGCATCAACAAACCTATTTAGATCACACTAAAACTTGGTTCTTACTTTATAAAGTCTGTGTACTCCATCCAGAAGACACCTTCACTGCTGCCATGAGCCATCAGCTCACGACGCAGGTGCTGTGGCCAGTCCGTCCACTCGTCTGACCAGCTGCCGTTCCACGAGAAGCGACCCCATGGGTTCCGCAGCCGCAACAACCTGAAGCATGGTCAAAGAGTGACAAGCGAGGAAGAGGAGAACACTGAGAAAGGTAAATACAGGATCCAGTTTCAGTGAATGTACCATCCCCATCTCTGCACTCATATCGCTCCTCTTATGGATGGCTATCTACTTTTTAACAAGCCATTTCATTTTACTGCCTCCTCCCTACAGTGAAAAACATAGGAGGTGTGATGGAACACCATACTGGAAAGGCCCCACTTTCCAAAGAAAAAGTGCAGGGAAATCATTGTTTCCAAGCTGCTGTTCATCTCCTTGGGTTCCTAGCAGGAGCACGCCAACTCATTTTAGATCAAGCGCTGCAACACAGTCTTCCACTCCGATTGCTTTATGGCAGTAAATTAAAGTAGCCGTGTGTGGCTCTTGAGAAAATTACACTTGGGTTTTACAACTACTGTCACCTTCCTCTTGAACAGAAGAACCCTCCACTATTTGAACTCACAATGCTAAAGTGATCAAACTGATCTGGTGTGCACCTCTACTTTACTGGCATCAAGCCACTAGTTCATTTACCTATGAGAAATACCTTTGCAATCAATCAATTCTATACTCAGGATACCTTTTCATCAATATCTATAAAAACACAATACAATATAAAAAACAGCACCATAGTTTCTGAATTCACTCAAAATTTTGCAACTCTATACTGAAAAGGTGACCCTGATGTTTTGTTTCGGTGATGGATCTGTTTACTTGGCAAAAAAACTAAAGTCATTAATTTCATTTGAATGTGTTTTCCTTCTCGTCTTCTACAATGTCTGCTACAAAGACAAACTGGATGTGTGGAGGGAGATAAAGCAGACAGATGTAAAGGAGAAACATTAAGTGATCAGAATGAGAAGAAACAAAAAGCAAAGAAACTAGAACTCAGAAAGATGAAAAGACAGGCACATAGTCACCCTACTTCACGTTCCTGTCACTGTCCATCCGTACCTGTAACCCTGGACATCTCGTACATCCAAGATGGAATACGCATGTCGAGGCCGCAGACCCAATGACTCATAGACGGCATCATCGACCTTCATGTTGCCTCCCCCACAGGATGCACCCATCAGAAACCTAATAGACATGACAACAACTTGTACAGTACAGCATCACTGGCAAACAATGTTCCAATCACACCGACTTGAATTAATAGAATGGAGGTAATGTCTGTGTAAACTATTTACAACTTTTCTGTTTGATTAATTTAGTTAATTATTTAATCTTTATCTAACCAAGAAAGCTCCAAAACAAAAATGACTTTTTCTTCGTTCTGGTCAAGTTAGGTAGCAATACACAGCATAAAACAAGTATCTGTTATTTGTCTAAATGTCTAACATATGCCTGATGATTTCTACTTGCTGATCCTCTTTGGTGATCCTTTTGACAGCTGGACCTGCAGTTTGGACACAGATGATCTGGCCTCTTCAGAGCTCTGCCATTTATCTCATGTTGCTCAGCTCACATATCAAAGTGTTGATTACCAGGCCTCCTTTATTATTGACATATGCTGCAAATTGCCATTCATCACCTTTGTACACTTTATTCTTCGTAGTTGTGTAGTTTTACAGAATACTTGAATTTTCAAATGACTTACCATTTATTGTTTTATCTATTAGCTGTACAGTACAGGCATAAGTCATTTTATTGTACATGTATGTATTCTTTAACAGAGCAGAACATAATAAAGAGTTATAGTAACAAACAAGGTGGACAGGTGAGAGGCAAAGTAAAAAAAAAAAACTAACAAACAAACAAACAAAAACTAAAGTTCCTTGTGCTCCAGTTCCACCAAAATTCCCCTGCAATCCCGCTCTTACCCAGCCTCCTTGGAGCTGAGCATCTTGGCCCAGATTAGGTCTGTATCAATGGGTTCCTCCCGGGGGTTGGTGGAGCTGACCTGGAGCATGAGGGAGTCACAGGGAGCCCCTGTTAGTGTTGCAAGGCCCTCGATGGCACGTCCTGCTTGCAAGGCAAAGTAGGAGCCATGGAGTTTGGCCAGAGCCTTCTCAATCAGTGCCACCCACAGCTGCTTCCGCTGGGCCTGGAATGATGGAAAAGAGGAAATATTTAGTCCTGTGTCAGCCTGGGTGTGGTTCGCTGAAAGAGGACCATTTGTAAGAGGATGTTGTGATTGTCCACAGCTTTTCCTTTCAACTCAAATGTTAAAGGTTTCTGAACAGGCGGAATGTTAAGACTGTCTTATTTATGCTTATTCTTTCTTATCATCACCATCCACGTTACAGTTGTTGCACCAGTGTTTTTTTACATGATCAGTCATCACAGTGAAAGAACTTACTTTCACCTAAAGTCTCTTCTATTTCCCTTCTTTTTTCCCCACTTGTATTCTTAATGAGGTCAGTGGTATCAGGGAGTGTTTCTCATGAGGTCTAATGTTCTACAGTAGGTTTTTCTAGCTGTCTGTGTGCCTGGCTTTGTTTCCTTGTGCTTTATCTGTTGCATAATGCAAAACATAATTTGTCCTGTAATTGCCTGTTGAATAATTACACCTCCAGGTATATTTCTCCTCTGTAGGGAGACATGATAAATAGCTAAATAATGAATGAACTCCAACCAATATTTGGAAGTTAATATTACACTATGAATGAAGTGAGTGTGGCTTCATGATGCTCTGCATACATCAGAGCATTTACAGTCATGTGAAAAAATTAGGACACCCTTTGAAAGCATGTGTATTTTGTAACATTTTTTAATATATGGTTATTGATTATCAATTTTAACAATACAGAGAGATTAAAGTAATACAACTAAACAAGTAAAACTGAAGAAAAGTCTTTTCAAGATGCCTATTCTAACTGAGGAAAAAGATAGCACACCCTCACATGTATGCCCTCTTAAAATGGCTCAAATCACACACACAGGTATATCACACCATGTGCACATAATTAGTAGATCGTTACTCAGCATTTTGAATGAGGCTTGCTCTATCTAAACCTCAGACATTTAGTTGGGTGTGCTCCCGACTGTTGAAGTGAGAGTGAGCACCATGGTGAGAGTGAAAGAGCTGTCAGAGGCCTTCAGAAAAAACATTGTAGCAGCCTATGAGTCTGGTAAAGGATTTAAAAAGATCTCAAAAGATTTTGAAATCAGCCATTCCACTGTCCGGAAGATAGTCTACAAGTGGAGGGCTTTCAAAACAACTGCCAACATGCCCAGGTCTGGTCGCCCCAGCAAGTTCACCCCAAGAGCAGACCGCAAGATGCTAAAAGAGGTCTCCAAAAACCCTAAAATGTCATCTCGAGACCTACAGCAGGCTCTGGCTACTGTTGATGTAGAAGTGCATGCCTCTACAATCAGAAAGAGACTGCACAAGTTTAACTTGCATGGGAGGCGTGCAAGGAGGAAACCTTTGCTCTCTAAGAGAAACATCAAGGCCAGACTGA